GAGGAGGAAAAGGAGGAGGGACGGAGGGGGACGGCGAGAAAGGAGGGAGGAGGAGGGGGAGAAGGAGGATGACGACGACGACGGAAAGGAGGGGGGGAAAGGATCGGGATGGGGGAGGAAGAGGAGGGGAGGAGGAGGAGGAGGAGGAGGAGGAGGAGGAGGAGGAGGAGGAGGAGGAGGAGGAGGAGGAGGAGGAGAGGAGGAGGGAGGGGGGAGGAAGGAGGGGAGGGAGGAGGAGGGCTCGCCCAGAGGGGGGTGAGGCTGACTCGGAAGACTTGCGCCAGCAATTCGGCCATGTGTGCCACGACTTGCCTTGTCGTGCATCTTGAACGACTGGGCCGATGAACTCGCAGACTGTGGTGCGAGTGGACCCCTCTGTGGCCTGCCAGGGGTAAGGAGGCGGGCAAGCTTAGCAAGCTGATCATGCAGGGCGAGGTCAGGCAGCCCCTGACCTTATCCGCACACGCGTTTTCGTACACCTGAGCGTCCTTAACGTCCTGACGCGCCTCTGGCGGCTGCCGCCGCCGCGCCTCAGTGCTGCCACGTCGCTGGCGCCGCCGCTGCTGCGGGTGCCGCCTCCGCTGGTGCTCTCCCCGACCCAGCCGCGGCAGGTCACGGTGCCTCTGCCGGGCCAGTTGGTGCTGACGCCGACGCTGGCGAGCCCGGTGGCGCGGCACCAGGACGCAGGGCGCGAGCAACACGTTGGCGATCTCGTGGGCCGTCTTCGTTATGATATCGTTTTCGGTAACGGCGGAACGAAAGAGAAACCGAGGGGGCACGAACATCATACGAAAACGGAACATCCTTTTTTGAGCCCGCGCCCTGCCCAAGCCGATCTTGTGTCTTGGGCATGGCATGACCCGTGTTGCGGGCCGAGGTTGGACAGGCTCGTTCATGGCCGGCAGCTTCTAGTCTTGGATGCGGTGGGAGTTGGGCTGATGTGCGTCCTTCGGGAGCGGCTTCTCTGAGGCGACGAACCCAGACCCCCGACGTCCTGACTTTTCTTGTGACGCGACCCCCCAGAGGTCCAGACCCATTCCCCGGGGCTGGTTTTTCATCCTGATTCGTTTTTGACGGTCCCGGGGCCTAGTAAGGCCCCCATGGGGCTGCGAATAGCGAACAACTCCCCGTCGTGTTTTTTCCCGGACTCGAGGGGGTCTGGGGAAAGTGTGGTCGCTGGCCCTACCAGGACGCCTTCCTCTTCCCCGTCGGCGCCGGCCCCGGGGCCTGGGCTCCCTGCGAGGGCAGCAGGCGCAGCGGCCTGCCAGAGGGCCGGCAGTCCCCGCCTGCCTCCCCGACGGTGGCACCCGGCCGCGCAATCGCGATGGCGCCGTCGGCTCTGCTCGGTGCGGCGCCCTCGAAGCTGCTGAGCTCCCGCAGGTCGCCGGAGGCACGCTGCCCGCGACAGGGGGAGGGGGTAGAGGAGGAGGAGGAGGAGGAGGAGGAGGAGGAGGAGGAGGAGGACGAGGAGGAGGAGGAGGAGGAGGGGGAGGAGGGGGAGGAGGGAAAGGAGGATCAGGAGGGAGGAGGGAGGAGCGAAGTGAAGGAGGAGCTCACGCGCGCGCCGGTGCTGTGTGCGAATGCGTGCGTGCGCGTTTGTGTTCGTCGGCGCCTCTCTTCTCCTGCTCGCGCTCTCCAGCCTTGCCGCAGCCTCGCGCCATGGGATTTTTTTCATCAGCGCTGGTGTAACCAGTCACCCACAGCATAGAAACCTGATCCGCCACAACTTGAGCACGGACCGGGAGGGGGGGGTCAGAGTCTGGAGTACCCCAAGACGACCAAGACAGGCCAAAATCGGCCCAAGATGACCAGAAGACGGTACAACAGGCTCCCTCGACGGCTCCAGGTAACTCAAAGGTGCCCCCCAAGACGTTTCGCAGAGGCACACAGCACAGATCTCCCAGATGTTTTGCATTGTTGGTAAGGCCTTACGGCCCGTGCCGCCGACCTTGGACGACGACCCCCGCGATGGGAGAGGCATTCGAGAAGGTCGGGATCAGACGCTCCCTGGAGTGCCCAAGAGTTTACACGAGGCCCCCAAGAGATGCCCAAGATCCCCCGCGAAGTTCCGGGGGTGTCTTGGGAGCCTTTCGGTATCCTCCTGGGGCTTCCTGGCGGTTCCTTGGAGGCGCCTGGGGGCCTCCCGGGGGGCCTCACGGGCCCTCGTGGGGGGCCTCTCGGGCCCTGGGACCCCCAGGGGGGGGGGGGGATGATATCCAGACCCGTGACAACTCCCTGGACCCCCCAAGCCCTACCCCTCCCAGGACCCTCCCCCCCGCGGGGAAGGGATCAAAAGGAAGGCGCTTCCATTCGACTCAGCTACGACGTTGCTCAATTTCGCTTAGGATGTTCCGCTTTGGTCCGCTTTGGCTGGCGCGCTTAAGGAGGAGGGCCTGGTTGCTTCTTGAAGTTTCTTTGGAGCGCTTTCGGGGCCTCTGGAGGGAAGGTTTGGGGGTGTCTTGGGAGCCTGTTGGGAGCCTCCTGGGGCTCCCTGGCGGTACGTCGGGAGCGCCGGGGGGCCTCCTGAGGGCCTCGTGGGGGCCTCTGCGAAGCTTGTTGGGCCCAGGGACCCCCTGGTTCTGATCCGGGACCGCCCCCCAGGATCGCCGCAGGGCCCCCACCGCGGGGAAGGGGTCAAAGGGAAGGGGCTTCCCTTTGACTCAACTACGACGTTGCTCGCTTTCGCTTAGGCAGTTCCGCTTTGGTTGGCGCGCTTCGGGAGGAGGGCCCAGGCCCAGGGAACAGGGCGGAGCGGTGACGGCGACGACGACGGCGACGACTACGACGAGTCAAACGAAACAGCCTCTCGCACACGCCGGCAGGGTCGGCGGATCTTCACATTCGCCTTCTCCGTCTTTAGAGCCACGACGGCCCACAATGCCCCCGAGCTCGCCCATCAATGACCTGCAAGACTCCCCAGAGAGCCCCAGCATAGCGAGTGTCTGTCTCGACGTTCCAGTGTTTTTCCTTCTGATGTCCTTTGTTGTTCCGCCGTGTTTGCTTTGCGTGTAGTTGCTGCACATTGCTATCACGGATCTGCTAGAAGGGCGAAGTGCCGTTCAGACTGTATAACAGAAGCTATACTGAACAATTCGTACACACATAATCCGAGTGTAAAGCTGGACGATCGGAAGCTATTTGTCATCCGCACAACGAGAATCCATGTGTAACTCGCCGGCAACATGAATACTCCTGTAAAGTTGCACGAACGGGTTTTCATAGGTAATCCACTACAGTTTTCGAATTGTACATCGCCCACACTACGATTCCTTTTTCAAATGGAGTAGGGAGACATTCCGAGAAGAGGTCGCCAAACCGAAATGGAATCCCCCACCGTGTTTTGGCCCCCCCGATATACTTCCGCACTTTTCCGAACTAACCTGTGGTGTTGGGCCCTCGTTTTGAAGAGACAGTCCCCGCGTCGCCCTTCTCCTCTCCTCTCCTTTCTCCCCTCCTCCTCCCCCTCCACCCTCCTCCCGCCCCCCCCCACTTTGGCACACCCCTCACGCGTTTCGTGGCCCCACAGGGAGCTCCACCGAAGACTCCAGTGGAATGGTTTGCATGCTGCCCCCCGTCCACTTTGGCACCCCTCTCACACGTTTCGTGGCCCCTTACGTAGGGAGCTCTATCGAAAGCCCCAGTGGCATGGTTCGCATGCCGCCCCCCGTTCACTTTACCACACCACTCACACGTTTCGTGACTCCATAGGAAGCTCAACCGAAGGGCAGAATGACATGGTTCGCATGCGTCTCCCCCTCCACTTTGGCACACCCATCACACGCTTCATGGCCCCATAAGGGGGCTCCACCGAAGGCCCCAGCGGCATGGTTCACATGCCGCCCCCTCCACTTTGGCATACCCCTCGCACGTCTCGTGGGCCCATAGGGAGCTCCCTTGAAGGCCACATTGGCACGGTTCGCATGCCGCCTTGGCACACCTTTCACACACTTCGTTGCACCATGGAGAACTCCACGAAGGCCTCAATTGCATGATTCGCATGCCGTCCCCCGTCCACTTCGGCACACCGCTCACACGTTGTGTGGCCCCACAGGGAGCTCCGAATGCCCCAGTGGAATGGTTCGCAGGCCGCCCCCATCATCTTTGGCTAGCCCCTCACACGCTTCGCGGCCCCGTAGGGAGCTCTAGCGAAGGCCCCAGTGGCACAGTTCGCGTGCCGCTCTCCTCACCCCACTTTGGCACACCCCTCACACGTTTCGTGGCCCTATCGGGAACTTCACCGAAGGCCCCGTTGGCATTGTTCGCACGCGTTCACCCGTCAAACTTGGCACACTCATCACACGTTTCGCGCCCCCACAGGGAGCTCCATTGAAGCCCCAGTGGCATGGTTTGCATGTCGCGCCCCCCCCCTAATTTGTGCACGCCGCTCACACGTTTCGTGGATCTTGGGGGCTCTACCGAAGGCCCCAGTGGCTTGGTTCGCATGCCGCCCCTTCCCCCCCTTCCACTGTGGCACACCCCCTCACACGTTTCGTGGCCCCACAGGGAGCTCCACGGAAGGCCCCAGTGCGGTGTTCGCATGCGCCCCCCCGTCTATTACAACGTTTTGTGACACCATACGGATTTCCACGGATGGCCCCACTGGCACGGTTCGCTTGCGTTTCCTTCACCCAGTACAGCGTTTCGTTGTCCCATAAGGACTTCCACCGGAGACAACATTGGCGGTGTTCGCATGCGTTTCCCCACCCTGTCTAACGTTTCGTGGCCACATATGGAGCCTCACCGAAGGCCCTAACGGCGGTGATCGCATGCGTTTCCACCACTCAATGCAGCGCTTCGTGGTCCCACAGGGAGCTCCACCGAAGGCCCCAGTGGCACAGGTCGCATGCGTTTCCCCACCCAGTACCGCGTATCGCGGCATCATGTGGAGCTCCACCGAATGCCACAGTGGCGGTGTTCACATGCGCCTCCCCCACCCAGTACAACGCTTCGTGGCCCCATAAAAGGGGGCTCTACCGAAGGGCCCAGTGGCTGTGGTCGCATGCGTCCCCCTCACCCAGTTGAGCGTTCAGTGGCCCCATATGGTGGAGCTCCACCGAAGGCCACAGTGGCGGTTTCGCGTGCGTCTCCCCCCTTCAGCACAGCATATGGGGCGACACTGGAGGCCGCAGTGGCGATGTTCGCATGGCGCCCCTGTTCGACTTCGGTACACCCCTCACACGTTCCGTGGCCCCACATGGAACGCCACCGAAGGCCCCAATGGCTGCGCCCGCATGCGCCCCCGTTCCATGTCGGCACACCCTTTGTGTTAAGCCCCCCGATTCCATGCCCAGTTCCCCGTATCAGTTTGATTCCGAGAGTTTGGTTAACATGGAGAATTCGTTTGCGCGGCATTGCATGTGTATTCATTATTGTAGGTGTTTTTACACATTTATTAGCATTGTGTGGCCTGCACATTGAATCCTTGTGTTTGGCTCTGCAATGATATTCTTTTTGCGAGCGATTTCTTAAATTTCGCATTTGTGTGCGGATTTGACATACGTTTGTTTTGCGTGGCTTTGCAATCATGCTCCCATGGTGGGCACTTCACACATGTATTCCACTTGCGTGGATTACACGGAGTATCTGGTAAACGGCTTTGCAGTAGGAATTTTCTTGTGGGCAATTCAAACTTTGACTGTCAGCGCGTGTGAAATACTAATGAGATCCTTTTGTGGGGCTGTATGGTAAGATTGCTTCGGTGGGCGATCAACACATTAATCCCTACTGCGCGAGTGGCAACTGATATCCTTTCGTGCGGATGTATAGTAACGGTGCGGGCGGTTTGCATGTTGATTCTGGTTGTGGGCGTGCCAACCCATTTTCTTTATTCTGTTTGCCGGCGACCTACACATTGATTAGTACTGTGTGGCTTGCGTGGTTTTACACTCGTATTCCTTCTTTGCGGGGTCTACACATGGGATCCACTTACGTAGGTTGCAAGTAGAATCTTTTTCAGGGGGGGGACCGACTTCCTTTTGTGGGCGATCCTGGTTATAAATGAATCATTCCTAACGCTCCTTCCGCCCATGTCTGCAGCCCTCCACTCTTTTCCCTTGAAGAGCGTTGGTAAGGCATGGATCATACGCAGGGACTGTCGCCGCAGCTGTGTGCAGTTACTCAAGCAAAAGCGCGCGCACCGGCCGCCTGGGCGGGCTTGCCTTACGCGCGCGTGCACAGACACACCACATCTTGGCTTAAAGTAGCTCGGCTTAACGGACTGACCCAGCCATGTACTCACCAGTTCGTAGTGGGAGGTTAGCTGGTTAGCTCTTCATAAGCTATTAAAAGAGGAAGAAGAAGAGCAAACAGAGCAACTTATTAATACCGAGCCACGTTTGCCTAACTTCACGCTCGATAGGCAAGTTATTGGTTATCAGCCGAAAGGTCTTC